TTCAATCTTTGCTCCCATCCCTGTGGCGCATCGCGAATGGAATCGAAAATCCCTGGGTGGCGGCCAGCAGGAGCGTGACACTATTCAGGGTGGTGTATGCCTTCATGGCCTTTTGGGCCACAATGCACTGGCTCAGCACTTGTGGCGGGCTCGTGTTGCGGCTTCAGAACCTTCGGCTCCGCGTGCTGGCCATTCTCTACCTGGCCACTCCCTACAAGCGTCGCGGGGCCTTTTGTGCACAGTACAAGAAAGACCTTGAGAAGCTTGTCTTGGTCAGCGATGGCGGAAGCTTCGATTCCTTCTCGCGGCCAGTAGACCAGACGGAGTTGCAAAAAAAAGGTTCGTCGTGCCTTCGGTGCGTCCTCTCTGCGACGGCGTGGCGTGTGTTAGAGGTGCCGGAGTTAGATGGAGAGGCTGATTCGAGCTGGATATCCTGCCTTGAGGCTCGGCGATTTGGATTGCTTCAAACCCTGCTGAGGGCAAACATGCTGGTTCTCGAGGTAATGCACAGTATTTGCTCTTGCTCCTCCTCTTCGCAGTCTGTGGCTGTGCATCGACCTTGTTATTGAAATTCGATGTATTCCATCCTGCACGATTCATCTACTCGACTTTTTGCTGCTTTAACCTGTTACTCAGCCTACCTATGGCCATTTGGATCATGAGCGAACTTGTCTCCGTCAAGCATGCCATGAACGAAGAATTGCTCAAGGTGCTGCAATCTTGGAAGGAGCGCATGGACCGCATTCGCTTTGCGAACACAGCGCGCATGCAGAAGGGAAACGAGCGACTGCTTTTCGAGAGCTTCTTTCGTAGCTGCTGGGCGGTCTGAGCATAGAGTGTCTCTTTCCTGTCGGGTGTTGCCTGCGCGGAGGCGGTAGTTAATTCGAGACATAAGGCCGCATCCATGTTCACAAAGGCAGCCTGTGCCTCGAGGTGTGGCAGATCCGCTCGCAGACATGACTGACCGAATCAAGAACTGGCAAAGACCGGTTCGCATCTTCGGTATCACGGCCTCCTTCACCGTGCGCAACCGCGTGGTGTTCTCCTTTTTCACGTCCCTGGTCTATGCGGTGTGGCAATGCCTCCAGGGCTCGACCTGGTTGTCAGGCCTGGAGGAGGAGATGAGATCCATCAGCAACTTGAAGAGCCCATAGCGCTCGACAACGTGCGCAACCTCATATAATATGTTGTTCTCTTATCGATTTCAAGGATCGGCTGCAAGGGGGTCCGCAACTTGCCAAGCAAGCTGCCAGACGAGCGGGTGCAGCCAAACGAAATGCCTTAGAGGGCGCAAAGCAGCCCAAATTGCAAGTGATCGGCCGCATGACCCTGTCAAAGCAGACAGAGAAGCCACGGGTAGAGGCCTGCATGTTTTGCATTGTCTGCACTGGAAAGTCTTAGACCCTCAACATTGTGCAAGGAGATGGACTTGGAGCTTCCAGCATCGGTTCCAGATTTGCATTC